TATAAAAGTTATCACAGTCAAAGGTCTACTTCTCCTTAGTGGATTTGCCCACCTGTCATGGACGCCGACTTTGGCGGCTTGGCCCAGCCGAGCGAGCGGGTGAGCGCCATCTTCCACTTGGTGTACCGGGCCTTCCTGTCTTCCTGGCTGATGCTCGGCGTGAAGACGTCGCCCTGCGACTGCGGGGGTGGCAGGGCGTCCAGCTTCACCAGGTCGACCCCCCGCGCCTGACCGGCGGCAATGGCGGCGCCGACGGCGGCCTTCTCCGTCACATCCGTGCGAACTGAACGGGGCAAGAGAAAATGACAATTTAGACGGCGCCTCCCTTTTTTTCTAGCAACAAGCTCCCTCACTCTCGAAGAGAGGTGTGGGCCAACTCACCGACGGAAGAGCCGCACAGGTCAGCCTGCAGCTGCAGCAAGAGGTTGTTGACGGCCATCTTGCCGTCGACGCGGAGCTCGGTGAGCGTCTCGGAGCTGTTCTTGCCGCAGTCGCGCGCCATGGCCTCCAGGATGTCGCGGGTCTGGAAGCACACCGCCTCCAGAGACGCCCGGATGATGTGCCCCTTGGTGGTGAACTGGGTGAGCCCGCACAGGATCCTGGGGGGGACAAACATAAGACGCGGAGTTAAGAGAGGCGCCGAGGAAGAGCCCGACTGGGTCAAAGCCCCGAAACCATGGGCACACCATGGGGGCACCGTAGGGACGCTACTCACCCTCTGGCGTCCTTCCTCCAGTGCGGCGCGTACAGGCCGGTGAAGGCGGGCACGAAGTACACGTCGCCGGTGGAGGCCACCTCGGCCGCGAGGCGCTCGCAGTCGGCGGGGTCCTTGAGCAGGTTGAGGTTGTCGCGGAGCCACTTGATGGCGTGGCCGGCCACCGCCACCGACCCTTCCAGCGCGTACACGGTGGGCGCGTCCGGCCCCATCTTGTAGGCCACGGTGGACAGCAGGCCGTGCTTGGACTGCACGCACTGCGCGCCCGTGTTGTACAGCAGGAAGCAGCCCGAGCGGTACGTGCTCTTGGCCTGGCCCTCCTTGAAGCAGCGCTCGCCCACCAGCGCCGCCTGCTGGTTGCCCAGGATGGCCGAGATGGGCACGCCGCGCAGCGGGCCCTCGCTCAGGTCGCCGTACACCTCGGACGAGCTGCGGATCTCCGGCAGGATCTCGGCCGGGATGTCGAAGGTGCGGAGCAGCTGCGGGTCCCACTGCAGGCTGTGGATGTTCATGAGCAGCGTGCGCGACGCGTTGGTCACGTCCGTGATGTGCAGGCCGCCACGCGGACCGCCGGTCAGGTTCTGGAGGGAGGGAGACGAGCAAAGAGTTAAAAACCGGGTGGAAAGGAGACAATTTAAAAAAAATCTTATTTTGTCATTGTTTTTTACTTTTTCTTGGGACATAAAATGTCCCATCACTATAAAGCACTCACCCAGACGAGCCACGAGTCCACGGTGCCGAACAGGCAGCGCTTGTCCTGGATGGCCTTGCTGACGGCGGGCACGTTGTCGATGAGCCAGCGCAGCTTGAGCGCGCTGAAGTAGGGGCTGACGGGCACGCCGGCCAGGGCGCGCAGGGCGTCCTTGTCGTTGCCCGGCATCCTGGCGAGCACGGCGTCGACCGTCTTGGAGGTGCGGATGTCGTTCCAGACGAGCGCGTGGTGCAGCGGCTGGCCCGTCACCTTGTCCCACACGACGGTCGTCTCGCGCTGGTTGGTCACGCCGACGGCGGCCACGTCCCGGGCGCCCAGGCCCGGCGGCAGCGCCGCCACCGCGGCCGCCATGCACTCGCGGGCGGCGCGCAGGATCGCCACGGGGTCCTGCTCCACCCAGCCCTCCTCCGGGCGCAGCGACTCTACCTCGACGCAGTGCACGGCCACCTCGCGGAGCGTGGACGCCTCGTACAGCGCGAAGCGGCAGGTGCGCGTGCCCTCCTCCAGGGCGCCGATCAGAGGGCCCTGGGGCACCGAGGTGCGCGAGATTGCAACGGGCATGTTGGCAGCGTCTGCGGGGGCACAAGGAGAGGGCAAAATGTTTTAATTTTTAAATATTTTTATTTCTTTTAGAACATTCTCTAGACATTTTTTTTCGAGGAACGTCAAACAGTCGGGTTAGCACCGCCCGGACTCTGTTTGTCCTTCCCAAGGACTGTCCCGTTTAGCACCCACCAGGCTGGGGCCGCGGGCAGGGCATGGGGGAGCGCCTGCGCATAGACCGTCCCGCCGCGCTCCCCCGCGCAACAGGCCTGCCCGCCTCCCAGGCGCTCCCCCCGCCCGGCCCGGCCCGGCCCCGCCCGCGCGCCTTTGCTTGCCGCTCCCCAGCTGACGCACTGACCTTGTTTCGCGCCAGGATTTGGCCAGGAAAGAGGCGTTCCATTGGACAGGACAGGGCACTGGCTCAAGGACTTTGTTATTGCTACTTTAAATGCTTATCGGCCTGCCCCCCCCCCTCTCCTCCTCCCATGACGTCCGCTGCGTCACCACCGGCCTGCTGCTGCTGCTGCTGGTGGTCGTCCGGGACGCGGAGGGGGTAGAGAGAGAGGGGCACAGGACGCTGCTCCATCCCACTCGGCGGCGCTCGGCGCGGCATACACGTAACGGGCACGACACATTCCAGCGACTCGCACGACGACGAGGCATCCCCGTCTCCTCCTCCTCCCTGCTCGTCCTCGTCCTCCGCGCTGCCGTCAAATCAATCGCCGCGCCGAACACACACAAACAGACCGCGGTGAAGGCGAGCGGTGAAGACAATAGGAAAAGGGGGGAAGGGGGAGGGGGTTCCGTGTGAGTTGGTCGAGTTGGGCAGGTCCGTTCCGCGCTGCTCCGAGCCTATACAGTACCATCACCACTACCCAGACCAGGGAGGGAGGTTTTGCAAAGCGGCTGCTCGGGCGAGAGACGCTCCCAGACCGCCGCTAACCGGAACCGAAAAAGTCGTAAAATACTTTGACGTCTACACCGCCTTCTGCGGTCGCCGAACAGTCGAACAGTAGAGACACGGTGGAATGGGAGTATTTTAATGTTTCCGTCTACAGTACAATAAAAAAGGATAATATAAAAATGAAAAACACCAGTCGCTGCGCGGGAATATACGTGAACGAATGGGAGAATAAGCCGAGAGGGAGAGCAGTCGCAAACGACGCCAAAGGTGAAAACGTTTTCTCTGCATGCTGATCAGAGCGCGCGCGAGTTCAAAACAAACGCACATTATACGCTTTGCCTCGCGCGCGGACTCTCTGCGTGGACTCTAGGCGTCCTGCACGTGTGTTGGGGAGGGGGGAGAGGGGGGGGGGGGGTGACTGTACCGGCAGCAGTGAGGCCCTAAGCTTGCACAATCGCCTACCTGATGGGCGGGGAGCGGGAGCGGCACGTAATCACAAGCACCTGCTGCTGGCCCAACACAATCTCTTTTGGCACATCACTCGATCGGGTGTTGTACACATTGCGGCGCATTACGGGTGCACTTACACTTTTGCACAGGGTGCGCGGTGTACAATGTACACTCACACACACTCAAACAGACAAGTGTTCGATACAGCCCGCGAAAAACAACCTAACCTAAACAGCCCACTTGATACACAAGTGTGGAAACAAGCACCTGGTTGTCGATACACCACAGGCCCTCGCCACACACCCAAAAGACCCAAGGGGCACTTCCCTCTAAACAAAAATCAATGTACACCCTACAAAAAAAATAATCAGATTTATGACATAAAAAAACAGCAAGTAAATATCGAGTAAAAATCGATGATATTCATTTTTAAAGAAAATAAGTTAAAAATCATAAAAATTAAAACAAAATCAATTGAAAACAGAAAGAATGGCGTGCGCTTGAATTTCTAGTGAAGCACCCCTTGGCAACACCCTTTCCAGGAAGCTTTTCTTTGCTCGCCGCGCACTCACCAGAGGACGGCATGCTGGGCATGGTCCCGCACGCTGCGGGGGCGGGGGTGTGTCGCTCTCGCCGCCTCCAATAACCACCGCCTGCTCTCCCGGGCTCGCGCGGCCCACGCACCACCGCCACCACCTCCTCCTCCTCCCTGCCCTATCGCTCGATACGCCACCCGAAGGGCCTTGACCGACCGCGGCGCGCGGCGGAGCTTTTGGAGCGCGGCCGGGCCTTCCCTCCTCTGCGGAAGCGCGCGCGCGGGCTGGGCCTGAGAGGGAGAGAGCGTGTCCGCGGGTGCGCGCGCTACAGAGCTCTACACACCGGCCGGGGCGGAGTCACTGGGACGAGTGCGGCGCGCCGCGGGGCCCCCGCGACCACCAGGCAGGCGCCCCCCCTGCGCGCGGCCAGGCGCCGCCCCCCCCTCCCCTTCCCACGGTCAGAAGTGGGGGGGGGGGTATTTAACGGCCTGCTGTGTTCCGAGAGGACTACCGAGATAATGCCTTGATGATGCACTGGCCGGCGCTGGCGACTGCTGGGGTCGGGCGGGGGCGGATGGCCGGACGGCGCTACGGACGAGTTTTTTGACCCTCCCCCCTCCCCATCTTCCACATCCTCCTCTCCGCCAGCCGACCCATGAGTCGCGCAGCGATTGCACCAAGCTTGTTAAAATTGTAAAAAAAACAACAAAAAACCCTACTCTGTTGTGGTCTCGGGCTGATGGTGACAAACGACAACGCTCAACACCCCCCCCCCCCTACCCCAACGAGGATGTAACGCTCCAATTCAAGTGCTTTACCATTCATACCAGGAACCGATACGAATGCGATTTCGAAAAGGACAAAAAGCAAAAACAACAAAAAACAGAACAAAAAAGCAGAGTCACAAGTCCATGACGATAACAGCTCTGGTGACAAGTGCCACACGCTTGGGGAGAGGGGGGGGGGGAGCTGACGTGGACCCTGGGGGACCCCCGGGGACCTTACGGTCACCCGGGCACTCGGGGATGATAGTGAAAACTGAAAGTCAAGTACGGTACAGTCGCGTCAGGAGCGGCTATGGCTCTGGACTCGGGTCCGCGCCGCCGCCGCGATCTACCCCACCACCACTGACCACCACCACGTGCCAGAACGGCAAAGGGTTTGGCCGCGACCCCGCAGAGACCATCTCGGTTCGTCTCTCCCGCCTTTATACCTGAGCCGCATCATGTAGTCGCATTCGAATAACCCGATCAGAATCCGCGATGAGGTCGGCGATAGCGGCCACCTTTGACCCTTCGCCGGTCACGGGGGGCGTGGCTCAAGACGACGGAAGGCCCGGCCGCCCCGCCTTCCTCTTTCATCACCTCCATCGACGTGTGTGTACCGTCCCCTGGCCCAGAGGCTCGCCAGCACCCCCCC